TTTTTTGTTCGTGAGAGAAAAAAAAAAGTTTGATTTTTGGAACGCGTAATAAATGTGATTAAATATGGCAAAATCATATGACCATTTGATCATCAACCAATAAAAATTTCCATAAATATAGAAAATGGTTTTTATTTCACATAATTTACCGGAAGTTGGGTCATTCAAAATTTCGATAATCGGGATTTCGAATTAATTTTAAAGGAGTAAATATTTATTCTAATTCTCTTATTACTGAATTTATCTCCCTCAAAAATGACTGATAGAATTAAATAACTGAATAGCTGAAATAATCAAAGTTATTTTTAGTATTTTCAAAATTAATAAGAAAGTAATTTAGAACAAAATTGATCGATTAAATTTCGAATTTTTTTTATTTGATAGATATTTATCTAAATTTAAATTTAATATAATACTAAACTTAATTCTCTATTTTTCACATTTTGTATTTGAAACATAACTTTATATAAACCGCAATTAAATTATTATTGAGTTTAAATTCTAAAATATCTTATTTTGACTTCTCTCATTATTTTTTTTTTTATTGTTTTTACGTACCGTAAAAAAAAAAAGACCCCGATCTAATCTTTACCTAATTCATTCTTGCCGATCTAATTTTGTGAAATGAAAATTAAATTAATTATTAAAAACGTGAATTTTATCTTAGGACTAAGCCGAATTTAGTGTCTTAATAATATAGTGTTGGATAACAGTCTTCAACTGACATTTTAATCATCTGAAAACCTTTTTTTTTAAAAAAAAAGTCACACTAATGGGATATCTACTTCATTTCTGTTCAATGATTTTTTTATTTTAAAATGATCAATTACCTTGTCTAGTAGCAAGTATTTGAGAAGATATGAAATTAACCTGAAAATTAAAAGATATTATGAATGAAGTTAAGATTGAATTATATTTAAATAAAATTTTCGAATCATTATAATTGTACCTCGGTGTTATATTGAGCTAATACACTTCTCTTGATTCGAAGCATTTCTTTAAATGTATCTTCGTTACCATGCTTGACTTCAAATTCCTTCCAAGTTTGCCAGAATGATGGTACCGTCTAAGATATTAACCGCTAATTAGCGGTAGAAATATTTTAAATTACATTATTCATAAATAAAAAAAAAGACAAACCCTTGGGTCGCAAAATTGGGATGCATGGGCATATAAAGCTCTCGCTCTATCAATTTCTCCCAATTTACGCTCCAATTCAGCATACTTCAAACACATATCTTTAGCTTCTTTATCTGGTAAAACTTCAATCGCTCTTTCATAAATTTCACGAGTATATGTTACACCAAAATTGGCACTAGCTTTGGCGATATAAAAATTGAACATCTTAATAGAATAGGATTTGATTAATTAAATCAATCTATAATACGACGAAAAACAAATTCTGAAAAATAAAATAAAGTACCTCGGATCGATCCTCATCAGATACTGATTTGGTTGCACGATCATAAATACGCATCGCGTGTCGTGCTAAACCATAATCTTCTTCTAATTTACCGTACATAAGATATAACGGTTTAGCGTATTTAGGAGGGCATTTTTCAAGTGCTTGTTCAAACAGATCTCTAGCGCGTTCTAGCTTGGAGCCTCCCTTAAAAATAAAATGACAAAAAATTTTAATATTTATCTAGATATTTGATAGATAAGATAAAATGTCTCTATTTTCATACATATCGATTAATAAACTTTGTCAAGTATACATTCCAAATCTCGAATGCAATGGGATAATTGAACAGTTCTACACCACGTTCATAAACCTAACAATAGTCAATAAATTTGTTACATTGATCTTCTTTACTATGATAAACCTTTAACACTTACCTTAAAACTCTCTTCAAAATATTGATTTTCCTCTAAAAAACTTGCATAGTTAATTATTATTTGAGGATTAGCGATTTTCAATTCTAATATTCTGTCGTATACCGCTCTAGTAGACTCTACCGTGCCGATACTTTCTTCGAGATCAACATAAAATGACCATAACTTTATTGATTTAAAAACGCGTAGCTGGACGGGTAAACTCTATTATAAAAGTAAGAAATTCGAGCTAATATCAGAAAATTGATCATAAACTTCGTATTAATGTTCATATATACGAACCTCATCACGAAAATCTACATTTGGATTACGAGGAGGAACTGTGGCACGACCCATAACATCTATGGCTTTATCGTAATTTCTTTTAAGAAGGTTAAAAAAAATAAATAAATGTTATAAATGATTTAATATATATTTAAATCTATACTTACTCAAATCGTAGTTCCATCTCAGCATATTCGCACCATAATGCAGCCAAATCGTTAACGTTCTTAAAATCAACATGAATAGCTTTCTCAAAGATCGTACGAGCATTCTCAACGTCACCACCTTGTTCGTAAAATTTAGCAAAGTTTACCCATAACCCATGGAATTTTCCCGTGGCTTTTTTTGGGTCAATGGTTCTCATTGCCTTTGTATACGTTTCAACAACCTAAATATGTTAATTATAAAGATATTAGAATTAATTTTATATAATTCATAACAAAATTTTTTTAAAATTTTTTTTTAAAAAAAAACCTTAGTATGATTATCTTTCCATAACGCCACTCTTTTTTCCCATTCATGGACGTTATTTGGATTTTGCCTCAACAAGACATCATTAACCAGAAAAGGTCTACGATCCATCAATTGTTCAAATCGCATCAGCCTTAAATCTAACTCTAAATCTGCTTGTGGATCATCTATTCCATTTTCTGCCCTCTCTGCTGTTTCTTCCATCTTTTTTTCAATGACAGTCTCTTCAGCTTTCGCATATGTATCAAAGATTTGCGTAAAATCTCTTACAGTCATTACAGTATTAATACCCTCTTCAAATACGTCCCTTGCCTGTAATTATGGTTAAAGCTATGAACATACGAAATAATAATAATCAAATTTAACAACATTTACAGACCTTTTCAAAGTGTCCTAATTTTATCCAATAGTTCGCCAAAGAATTCCACAATCTTCCGACCTGATCTGTAAACCTACGAATTCCACTTCGTATAATAGACTCGACTTTTAAGCTTTTGATTTCGTATGGATTTTCACAAACCAAATCGCAAAGTTCCATCCACATTTGATAGTTGGATTTTCCGGACATTGATTGGAATCGATCGTTATTAACAACCTGAGCAAGTCGTTTGGCAGCTTCATCGTATCGATTAAGTGATAATAACAAATCGATATATTCTTCGACACGGTCTGGTTCCAACTATGATGGGATTCATGCTATATAGTGAGCGAATATCTCTTGCCGAAAATGATTGTATGTCATCTATTGTTGCAGTGGACTATCGCCACAAACCGATAGTCAGTTTTGAAAATTTTTGCCGTAATTCGATGATTAATTGGCAAAAACTATGTCGTAAAGTTCATATCGTATATAACATTTGAACCCACCATAATTTATAAACCTACTACATTCATTGACCTCCCATAATGTAATTTATATTATAGATAAAGAAAACAATATCTCACCTTAAGATATCTTCGATACAATCGAATCGCTGTTTCACCTCCAACTGATTTAGCAAATTTTAAATATAACTCCCAAATTCTTGGATGTTGTGTGATCGGTAATGCTTTTAATGCACGATCAAAGGTTCTACGTGATTTGGTGATTCTACACTGATTCATTAAGAAACTACAATAGTCTAACCAAATTCGAGGCATCTAGTGAATCGGCAAAAAACTTAGCAAAAAATACAGTTCAGCAGACAAAATATATTATAATGAACATCTATTTGCCTTATGTAACAAGACTAATGCCCTCTCAAAACAATTATTGACTTTCAAATATTCTTTTTCAAATCTAACGGGATTTAACTCTTGAACGTGTTCTCTACGAAGGTCTAAGTATTTCTTCCATAATTTATAAGAACCAGGTAATTCTTTAAGAGCACGCTCATATACAAAAATTTGTTGTTGTAGTGGTTGTTCAGATTTATGATCAATATATCGAAGCCATGATTTTAATGTGTAAGGGTTGCGTAGAATTTCTTCTTCAAAGGGAATATCAAGCTCTTCCTATACAAAATAATTTCAATATTAGATATAAAAAAAATCAAGATCAAAGGTCGAAATTTCAAACACATACGATCAAATAAAACCCTTCGTTTTCATCAGTTTGCATCATTATAAAAGTTTGTATCAACTGTGTGAAAAAAAAAAATTCGACAATGAATTTGACTAGATAATTTTTACCTATCACGTGCAGATTCGTCTATTTTGGGATTTCGAATCTATAAATAATTTAGAAAGGATTTTAGCTTATGGAGATAATTGAAGTGTAATTAATTTTTCCGCAGACATATCATTTGTAATTTTGGTCCAAATTATTTGACAAAAAATAACATCAGTTATTACTCGAGAATATAATTAAACGATTTATTTTTATTTTTTGAAAAGGTTTATTACAAAAGCTGCATAAAGAATGAAATTTTTTTTAGTATTTTCTCCAGGACTTTTATATTTACTATTTTTTCATATAACTTTTCTACTTATTTTCACGTAAAGTTGGAAAGCTAGCGAGAAATATTTAAATGACATAATATAAATGCAAAGATGAGATGTAAACTTTTAAAAAACAGTGTAATCCCGCTTCCTACTCTATCCAATAACCCATCTGTATAGACATTTTATGTACTTTCCCCCTCTATGATTTCGAATTAAAAAATATATATACATATAAATTATAGAAAATATTTTTTCTTATATTTTTAGCATCTTGGATGCACTGATGTTTTATTCCTATAAAATGTAATTGCAATTAATATCCTAAAATGCCAGATTGGAATAATGTTCAATCTGTATTTATTGCCGGTGTTAACTTCATTATTTTATTTAGTTTAATTTATATTTAGCATTTATATTGTATATATTATTTGTATTATTTTATTATTAGTATATACTATATATGCTGGAAAATTAATTACAAAAAGACAGAGTCCGATCTCGGTGATAGACTTACGGATTTCTAAAATACTTTTACCACTTTCAAACCTTCCTCGTGTCTTCATATAGGCTCCGCTTGTGATAACCAACTACACAATTGAATCGTAATAAAAGAGTTATTAGTGAGTGATATGTTTCCAGGATAAAGGACTCCGCATCGTTCGTTACGGTACAATTCCAGGTGTAACACCGGGAAGGTTAAATTATGTAATCAACTTTGACGATCACTGCGGAAAAAAATAAAATTTCTCAATAACGGTCTTGGTGAAATTTTGACAAGCAATTTATTAAACATGTTGGGGCCATATTCCATGGCTTTTAATAAACATTATAAACGAAAAATAATGAACGGACAATTAAAAAAGTCAAATTTCTGCCCTCTTTACTAGTGTCTCAATCCACTTTGAATCATATTCGCTATCCTGTTCAACAGTCTCGAATCATTTTGATTCACCTTACACCGATTTTATTGTCCTAAAATTAAAATCGCAGAACAAGATCGCAAAATAATGGTTATAAATAAATAAATGCGCACCTGTTTTTCGGACAATCCAGTGAAACCTCCCAATCGACCGGTTCTCGCTTTTTGGACGAAATCCTAGAGATATTTAGAATAGGTAATGAAAATCTTTAAATAACGTTCGTGAAGTCAAAGTTGTTACCGAGGTTGTAGCAGTAACATATGGGAGAAATCCAATTTGATTATTAATTTATAAAATAATATAAAATTTTTAATTTTAAAAGTTTAACCGAGCGAAAAATACATTTATTTCCCTATTATATTAACTTATATTAACTGATATGAAAAATGTATGTATGTAATATAAGAATTTTAAAAGAAATAAGATCGTGAAGATAAAATTTATCACTTATAAAGTGATTTTTTCAAGTTCACCTAAAATCTTTCCCGCCTTTTTTCTAATCTTATCAAAATCCAGTTCATAATCATCATCATCTGGGGTTATTTCATCCCTCCCTTCAAATGAAAACGGAATATAACTTTCAGCTAAAACAAAGAACTCACTAAGTTTATGATACACTTCATCATCATACAAGGTTTTGTCATTTTTAAATATACTTAAAAATAGGTGAATCAAGTCAACTCTTTCACCTTCAGAATTAGCAATTTGTTCAAGGATATCTTCAAATACCATGAGTACGATTGCATCTAATTTATATGGTGGTCGTGTTACATAGCCATATTGTTTGCTGCTTAATTTCCATCCGGACCATAAGAAATAATCCTTCTTTCCACCACGGTGAACTATGAGACATTGGTATGATTCGGGGTCAACTACGAGATATGCATTTTGAGCCTTATAAGTTCCAATGTAAACATTGACATTGTTTGTATTTCTGTCAACAAATTCTTGAAGGGTCTTCAGGAGTCTTTCTCTGTTCTGCATATTCCAGTTGTCATCTGCGTTGAATCCCCAATCGAGTTTGTGGTTGGAAAATAAATGTTGTAATCCTTTGTCAATATAGTGTACACGAGTCTTATTAAAATTTGCGAAATCAGGATTAAGTACATTAGCGTATGCATAAGTCTTAAACACTCCGCGAGACTCATATGTATTAAGTCTTATTTGATTTTGTCCAGAAACTGTTCCAATCCAATGTCTACCAGTGTAAACATGTCGTCCATCAGGTAGAGTTGTGCGATTACCATGATTTCCAATGTAGAACCAATGGCCATTGAGCCAATTCCTATTTTCCGTGTTTTTATCTTTGAAGAGCCCAATCCAGTCCCAGGTGGATGGTGTGATAATAGACCATTCGATCACTAGTGTTCCCGATTTAATGACACACCTCAAGTAGCATACCTCTCTTTTTTGACTTTCACTCATATTCTTTGAAATAAAGGTTAAATTTTATTAAAAAATTTTTTGAACCAAAAAAACAAAAAAATAAAGAAATTACTATAGAAATTCGTCTCAGATTTATATTATAATTGTCATTGGATGACTGGATTGATAGACCAATTAAGTGAATTATGGAGCCAGTGGCTTAGCGGCAGTAGCAGCTATTATTGTACGAAAAAGATATGCAATTATAAATATTATAAAATATCGGCGGATTTACTTCCTACCTCTCAATGCGATTATAAAACTTGTCCTAAAATTTTGAACAATTAAATTTTATCAATTTATCAAGAACCCTCGTGACAATGAAATATTTATCGCTATTTTCAAAATAATGCAATTTCTACACAAAAATTCGAACTCCTGAATTTTGTATACCAACTAGAAACTGCGAATAGTAGGGATTTCGTAACTTTATTGATCTACTCCATCCCAATTAAGCGAAAAATTGGTAATAATCACCAATTTTCACTCAATCACATCTTTTCGTTAATTAATTATGGTCATATGAGGCGCAGTTATTACAAATCGGATTCAGTTAAGATGACTGTATATATGGTTAATTTTATTTTTATACCTAACTTTGTCTAGAGCGTTAATTGAAAAAATATTTTACAAGTCACATTTGATTTACAAAAATAACCTGAGAAATTCATGACCATTTTTTTGTCCGTCAAATGTGCGAACAAATTGAGTGATAGAGTTCCAAATTCCGACTATTATTCAAATAATAAAATTATAAATTAAGTAATAGGATTAAATTAGATTTCAATAAAACACATAAATGAACTACATTCGTTCTATTAAAAACCAAATCTAAACATTATAAGTTGAAAATCCTTTATTAACGTCGTTCAATACTGTTTGTTTCGATTAATGAACTTTTTAAATTCATCCTTTCATCTCTCAATTCTATTATCGTTATTTGCACGAAAAAAATAAGGTCCCCAGGGTTGTCGTATCTCGTAGCTTGAATGATTAAATCCTTCATTTAAAATTCTATTATTCCAAAAATTGGTATAATAAGGAAGAAATTGTGATTTCTCATTAAGTCTTCCTCTTTATTAGGTAGTTCCTTTTTGTGAACGCATGATCACTCCAGCGACCTTTTTCATTAATCACGATCCCATGATCCAATTAATTTCTAATTAATAATCCATATATGACGTGATGGAAAAGTCTATAGGCACTACCATATGAATACTGTAGTTACATAAAGGAAAGTTTATCGCAGAGAAAAACCATAAGTAGAAAGTGCACAATAAAATATGTGAGTTATTGTTCATTGTCGAAATCAACACTTTTCCGATTCAAATGCCGAAAATTTTATTAATAAATTTCAATCCATAGCAAAGTGGAGCGAGTAAAATATATGTTTTTCAAAAAATATCTCTCCTTCATTTCGCATATCAGTCACTCCCACCCATACAGATGATTATATTTCGCTATGATCCATTTTCATAATATTCCTATTTGTTTTATAATAAAGGTTTTAGATTTTTGTTTATTATCCCCAAACTTTAAGAATTAAAACTTATATGGCGGCCCTCCAATCTGATTGGTTTCGGAAAGCTTGTTATAATAAAACTTTTGTTTTTATAATTTATTAAAGTTACATTAAATTTTCTTATTAAAAGGTAAATGCAAATATATAATAAGAAGAGTAATATTTAGATTGTCTAATAAAATAAAAATTTGGGTTAATATTTCAAAAATACATTTAATAATTTTGATCAATAAATGCAATAGTGATAAGTTTGTTGTTTTACTTGTATAAGGTAAATAAAAAGATTTATTAATTAAGTTTTTATTTTTTTATATACAGTAAGTAATTTACAGTGAGTTTAAAGATCAATTTAGAATAGAAATTATATTAATTTGATTTATCAGAATTATTATTTTGTATTTTTATTCATGCGGTTATTAACCAAATTGCGAACTAAAAAAAAGGACATTCGTATAAAAAAAAAGCCGACAGTATAATATTTTCAAGAGACATATGATATTATGATATAACTATACGAAAAATCAAAAAAAAATAGGTTATCATCCCCGTTAGTAAAACGTTGATATTTAAATGAAACTAAAACCGATTTATGCAAAATTTAATTGTACTAATAATATATAATCAGTGTGTTTATTTGAAATGCTAGAATTATATAATGCTAAAAACTGGTTACAGTTAAAACTTATATATTATTAATGACGTCAACCAGTGACGAAATCAACTAAAGAATATGAATCAGGTTCGAAATTTTACAATGTTTTTAAAAATGCAATTATCAATTATTCCGTATTGGCACTTCACAGCAACATTCTTTTGGTGAACAAGTATTTCGTAAGTGACTTTTTTATCA